GCGTGGGCGGGTTATTTGCGTGGGCGGGTTATATGGGTGAAAATACGGTAAGTCAATTAATTCTGTCCAAGAAATATATTTTGAAACACTACATTTGTTCAACTTTTTGGCAGAGAAGATTGTTTGCTTAGAATCTACAGAATAACAGAGTTGGAAGGGACCTTGGAGGTCTTCTAGTCCAGTCCCTGCTCAAACAGAAAACCAGACAAATGGTTGTCCAATCTAAACAGTGTTAGCCATAATCCGTAACAATGCCTAACTTTAAACTTCAAATCACACTGTCAACTAAGTTCATGGGATTCTTGCTGTAGAGAAGATTGATGGAGAGAGTTCTGTGAATACCCCCTTAAGTTCCTGAGGGACAAGAATTAAAGAGGGATAAAGTTAACTGTGGTCAAAAGGAGCTGTTATTTAATTATGTGACAGATAGATTCTTTTCCCTATTTTTTACATATTTTGAACAGAAGTGTACAGAAAAAAGAGAACAAACCAGTTTCGAAGTCGCTTGGGCATATGGCCAAGCCTGTTCTAGAAGAGTCCTATGAGATACAGGGGAATCACCTCTATCTCATTCCAATTTCTTAGTGAAAGGAAGTTTCTTTGGTCTGTATAAGTGATGTCCTCCAATTCTCTCCTTTGGGCAAAACATTATCTACTATGTTATGGACATTATGGCATATTCTCCTTCAAAAACAAGCTTTGGGTTGTTGATTTTCTTAATTAAGAATGTTTTAAGTATAGAAAGTGATTGAATGGACTAATCTGGGAAGGTACAGTCTATGAGAATAAGCAGAACAGTTATTAATTCAGCTGTTATTGAAGACAGTGAACATTAGTCATGTCAACAGCAAGCAGAACTTTGAAGCTGGGGCAAAAAAACGTCATTGGGCTATCTCTCACTTATAGCAGCTGCCAGAGTAATTGCCAAACTATTTTGATTAACACATAGACATTATAATTACGTGATTTGCTGTGAAAGTGTTCCTGAATCTCAAATTTTGTTCTTTAACCAGTTTTACATATTTTTTCTTCTGTGATTGTTTGGATTTGGCCATTATTTCCCCATTATTATGTTGATAGTTTAGCACTTTTATGGCCAGTGTATAAAACTATTTAAAGTAATATGTTTAGGAAACTCAGTCCAACAGCTTTATGTTTAAACATGTGATGCTTCAAACCTGGCAAAGAAATTGAACCTGGAGGAATGTAATTGTACACATAAAACAGCTTGTTGTGTTTACATTTTTGTGAGCATATGGAAACAAGAGAAAATACTGTTTGAAGTAACAGTTCCATATGTAGATTTTTCAGGGCTAAATATTAAATATTCCGTTTATATTTAAGCACAGCAAACCAAGAGCCAGCGTAATGTAGCAGTCAAAATTTGGGAGATAAATTGGGGACACAATAGTTCCAACTTGTCATTCAGTAAAGGAATTCGCCAGCCTACCTTATTTTACACAGTTTTTGATATGGAATAAAATGAGCAGAGAAGAAATTTCCATCTATGCTGCCATGATGGCAGCAGAGAAAGGATGAAATGTAAATGGAAACCTGTTGTGGCCCAGCAGGAGCCGTTGGAGCTGCCACCAGACTCCGACAGCGAGGGGCCCTATGAGT